AACTAATTCTAAGAAATGTGTATTTCACAATAAAAAATAATTTAAAAAAATAAAGTAAAATAATTTTGTAACGGAAAAATTAAAACAGACATACTAAGAGTACTACTGTTTATATAACAACTACATTTGAGTACATACAGCGCAGTGCGACACGTAGAGGAGAGCAGCCCAGGACCCAGCTCCCCACACCCAGCTCACTGCCAGAAAACAGGGGCCTGGCCTTAGCTCGGCCTCCCCTTGGGAGGGGTTTTGAGGGTGACTGCTAGTCTTTGCCCAGAGCAATCCAGCCACCCCGGAGATGGCCCACCTTCCAACCCTGCATACCCCATTGTTGGAAAGCATCCCTTTTGGTGTGCTGAATGGATAAACATCCCCAGAGTTTATTATATTTTAAGAGTATTTTTATCTCCTCTTAAAGTTTATAATCTCAGGCATTCCTTTTCCTTTTTTGTTCTCTGCAGAGGAACTTTTAGCCCCCTTGGCACAGGAAGCAGTGCGGGGGAGGGGGGTGGTATGTCATCCACCATTAAAAAGAGAGAAGGTGACCTATTTTTAGGATATAACACCTCCCTTTCAAGGTTTTCTTGTAGAAAAATTACACTTTCACAATCATAGGCATTTTTTCCTTTTCATCTTTGACTACCTACCTAGAACACCAGGGCTGCCACTCTCCACGCCTCCCCTTCTACACAAAATCCCTGGTTTAAGGTTCATTTAGATCGAGTCTATGAAAGTTCTCCAGTCCTCCACTCTTTCTGCACATAGCCCAGCACAGAGCAAAAGCCATTAATAAATGCTTTTAGGCCTGACAGTGCAGGCTGAAGCTGGATACTAAGAAGCCCTCAGGCCACAAAGGTGAGTAGGGAAGGGAGTAAGCAGGGGTCCAGTTCATCGTCTCCTCCACTAGCCAAGGGGTCTGGCCCCACACAGCAGGCCTGCCACCAACACCTCAGAGAGATGGGGGGGTGAGGGAGCGGGGGAGGGGGGAGGAGGCAGGGCAATGAAAAACATTGGCAAGTTTTAAAAATCATTATTTTAAGCATTTATATCTTCTAATTTTTGATGTTCTAGGGCAAGGCTTGGCAAACTTCACCCCACTGACCGAATCCTGCTCACCGCCTGTTTTGGAAATAAAGTTTTATGGGAACCCAGCTATGCCCATTCCTCCGTATTGTCTAGGCACTACAATGGTAGAATTGAGCAGTTGTGACAGAGACATATGAGTTGCAGAAGAAGCTTGCTGATCCCTGTTCTAAGGCAAACAGTCCATCTGTTCTGGCAATGCCTAAAAAGAAATAATTCCATGAGCAAGCATCCCCTTGAATGTGGGCATGAGGGGTTAATAAGAACCAAGAACAGGTTCAGAGCCTCAAAAACCCTAGCCAAACTCTGGAAGAAGATCGATCTCAAATCAATGACCTAATATTCCACCTTAAGGAACTAGAAAAAGGAGAGCAAATGAAACCCAAAGCAAACAGAAAGA